CCCTCCGTCTCACTCAGCTGCAATTTCTGCTGGTTTTCACAGCCAGAGGTTGTGGGGACTTCTTTTCCCACCCGGCACTGAAACTTTGGGCTGGGGTCCCTAGTGTGGGGCTGGGACCCCTTGCTCCTCAGGTAGGGGAAGGGCCTCTGCAGCCAAGATAACCTTCCTGATTTTTGATTGCCACACACAATTGTGGAACTGGGTCATTTTTCATCTCTGCCTCTCCTATCGGTTTGAGGTGACCTTTTATGTCTGTCCCTAGTTGTAAAGCTTTTGTTCAGCCAGACCTCAGGCGACTCCTAGTGATGGCTGCTCTGTAGTTTTGTTATAGTTTTGGTGTGGTCACAAGAAGAGGCATGCACAACATCTACCTTCTACGCCATCTTGACCAGTCCCCCTCTTTTATTTTCTTAATATAGGCACTTATTACTATAAACTTCCATCTTAGAACTGCTTTTGCAGCATCCCACAGGTTTGGTATGTTCTGTTTCCATTTTCATGACTTTTTTTTTGGTTTCCCTTTTGATTTCTTCTCTGATTCATTGGTTGTCCAAGAGTTTGTTAATTTTCACATATTTATAGATTTTCCAGCTTTCCTCCTGTTACTGATTTCTAGTTTTATACCATATGGTCAGAAGAGTTACTTGATATAATTTCGCTTCTTAAATTTGCCAAGATTTGTTTTGTAGCCTATCATATGACCATCTTCAAGAATGTTCTGTGTGTACTTGAGAAGAATATTCTGCTACTGTTGGGTGGAATGTTCTATATATATCTGTTAGGTTCATTTAACCAAAAGTATGGTTTAAGTCAAACATTTTCTTGTTGATTTTTGTCTGGATGGTCTATCCATTTTTGAAAGTGGGGTACTGAAGTCACCTACTCTTATTGTTAGGCTATCTATTTCTTCCCTCAGATTTTTTAGTATTTGCTTAATATATTTAGGTGCTCTGATGTTGGGTATTTATGACGAATTGATCCCTTCTTCATTATATAATGACATTGTCTTTTCTTACCATTTTGGCTTAAGGTCTGTTTTGTCTAATATAATTATAGCTACCCTTGCTCCCTTTTAGTTTTTACTTCCATGGAATCTTTTTCCATCTTTTCATTTTGATCTTCCGTGTGTCCCTAAAGCTGAAGTTTGTCTCTTCTAGGCAGCACGTTGTTTGCTCTTTTTTCATCCATCCAGCCTCTTCATGTCTTTTGATTGGAGAATTCAATCTTTTTACATTTAGAGTAATTATTGAAAGGTAAGAACTTACTAATGCCATTTGATTTTGTCCTGGATATTCTTTCCTTTAACCTTTATACTATAGTTAAGTGGTTAACAAACTGCCATACTACAATATTGGTGAATTCTGAATTTGACTGTATGTTTAACTTAGCCACAGTGTTGTATATTTTCACATGTATTCAATTTACTAATTAGCATTGTTTCATTTCACTTGAAGAACTTTCAGCATTTTGTAAGGCAGGACTAAGGGTGATGAGGTCCCTCAGTTTTTATCTGTCTGGGAAAGTCTTTTTATCCCCATCATTTCTGAAGGCTAACATTGTCAGATAGAACATTCTTGCTTGGCAGTTTTTTTCTTTCAGCCTATCACAAAGGTAAATTGCCTCTTTATCTTTATCACATCATATCAAGGATGTGCAATCAATCTGAATTATCACTGTTGATGTTGACTTTTATCCAAATGCACCACGTTTATCTTACAATGGGTTGTTGTGACTTAGTGGGTCTGAGAGAACCCAGTTCGTGATGGACCGTTATGATCACATGGTCATTTGATGTCCCATGGTCAGGCACTGTGTCTCTACCAGGTCCCATCAGCATGTCAGAAGCTATTTATCAAAAAGTATATAACTCTCTGCTGCAGGTGGCTTTTCTGGAACACTAGGGCCTGGGTTAGGATTCTCTTAATAGGGTTTGCCATAAACTCCACATGGCTTCTTTTCTCACCACTGCTGTCTTATGTCCTAAGAGGCAGTTATGCTTGTACCCATCCTAAAACTGCTGCAGAGTCCTCTCCTACTTGGGCCTCACTCAAATCTGGCAACCTTTTTTATTCATCTGATATATGACTAATTATTGAAAGGTAAGAACTCACTAATGCCATCTTATTTTTTCTAGCAGTGTTCCTAGGTGTGGAGTATGCAGCTTCCAAAACACAAAGAAGTCTCAAAGGCATTGGCTTATTTCCAGGCGAGAGTTGCAATATGTAATAATTTGTCCTCTATTTTGCATGGGATATATCAGCATGTCTCTTATTACTGGATCACTAAATATTTTACTTGAAATAGCAGACTATTGAGTCACTGCCACCCGGTAGAGCACATAGGTCCTATCCAGGCCTCCAAATTGCTAAGTATTTCTTACTTTTCTGTTCTAATTAGCATCATATCATCACCTTAATGGGTTAATGTGATACTTTTCAGGATAGCAAGATTGTTCCTATTTGTTTAGACTATATTATGACAGAAGGCAGGAGAATTAACCTAGGCCTGGAACAAAACTGTAATATATATAGTTGTTCATTCTATGTGAATGTAAACTATTTGTGGTCCTTTCTTTCCAGATGGGAATGGAAAAGTACACTTTCTTCAAATCAATGGTGGCATTCTATGTACCAGAAAACATGTTAATCAGCTCTAGAAAGATCCCATATCTGGTAAGGTGACTGTATTTGGGACTGTACCTTGATTGAGTTTGGAGTAGGCCACTGTCATTCTCAAAATTCATTTTATTTTTTTCCAGAGGCTGGGCTGGTGAATGGAGATATGATGGTGAACACAGCCCCTGCTTTTATTTATTTATTTTTTTAGTCTTTTAAGAGTGAAAGTAACTTCTGACATAACACCTGGAAAATTATATTGTTTCAAATGTACTATATTTTCTGGGGTAGGTAGAAGTTTCAAAGGTTTCCACTTGGCTTTCTCCACTATAATAGCCAAATATTCATTGCTGGGTTCATGATATCTTCCAAGTAGTTTGATTGTAGATTTGGGACCAGAAAAACGACCACCAAGTGGATTTGTAAACCCTGTAAGCCCAACGTAAGCCACTCCTTGTGCAAGACTCCATCCAATACCTGGCTTCAATCATTTGTTTCACTTATTCATATGCTGTAATTATACTGCTGTTATTATTAAACAATAATAAGAAAAATATAAGATTTTTGTCTTCATTTATTCCTTCTCTAGTCATCTTTTCTTCATATAGATCTGAATTTTTGACCTATATTATTTCTCCATGAAGAACTTCTTTGAACATTTCCTGCAGGTTGAGCAATCTTTATTTCTTCTTCACTTTTGAAGGATTAATTTCACTGGATATAGGATTCTATGTTGGTGGGTTTTCACCCAACACTTTAAATATTTCACTACATCTTATTCCTGCTTGCGTGTTTTCTGAAGTCTGATTTAATTTTCATCCTTGAGTCTTTATAGGTTAGTTGCCATCCTCCAACCTCTGGCTTCTTTCCAAGATTTTCTTTGTCTTTGGTTTTCTGAAGTTTTAATATGATACACTTCAGTGTAGTTTTTGTATTGATCCCAACTTTTCTGGACTTGGTTTGGTGTCTGTTATTAACTGTGGAAAATTCTCAGCCATTATTAATTCGATATTTTTGCTTCTTTCTCTTTCTTCTCCCTGTATTCCCTTTACACTTATGTCACACCTTTTGTATTTATCCCCAAGTTTTTAAATATTCTGTTCCATTTTTCTTTTTTTCATTTTTTTTCTTTGCATTTTAGTTTAGAAAGTTACTAGTGACATATCTTCAAGCTCATTGATTTATTCCTTGACCATATCCAGTCTACTGGGGATTCCATCACTGGCATTCTTCATTTCTATCATAGTGTTTTAGATTTCTAGCAGCTTAGTTTTTTTCCCCTCTCGAAATTTTGGTAAAATATATATAATATAAAATTTACCATTTAACCAGTTTAAGTGTACAGTTCGGTGGTATTACGTACATTCACCCCGTTATGCAACCATCACCACCATTCATCTCCAGAACGTTTTTCTTCTGACAAAACGAAAACTATACCCATCAAATAATTACTTCCCATTCCTCCTTCCCACAGGCCCTAGCAACCACCATTCTACTTTCTGTCTCCATAAATTTGACTGCTCTATGTACCTCCTCTAAGTGGAGTCATACAGTATTTAACTTTTTGTGATTGGCTTATTTCACATAGCATAATGTCTTCTAGGTTCATCCATGTTATAGCATGTGTCAGAACTTTCTTCCCTACTAAGGCTGAATAATGGCCCGTTGTATGTATATGCCACATTTTGTTTCTCTATTCACCCATCAATGGACATTTGGGTTGCTTTCACTTTTTGGTTATTGTGCATGATGCTATTATAAACATGGGGTGGGTGTCTAGCATTTTCTTTGGACTCATGGTTTCCATCTCTCTGCTTATATTATTCATCTGTTCTTGCAAAGTTCTTCTGTGGAGTCTTAATAATGTATATAACCTGTGTTCCAGAAATTCCATTAGGAATTTACATATATCCTTATTAGGAGGAGATGCATACTGAAGTATTTATTTTATTTAAAAAATCGAACTGTAATTGTAAAAGTCAATGTGAAGAATGGGAATCCCAAAGATAAAACTACTGTATTATCACCGACAACCACTGTCATTCAAAGTTGACATTTTAACAGCAGTAAGGCCTTACACAGGAAATAGTACTCTAATTTTGCATTTCATTGGAATCATATAACAATTAATTATCTATAGTTTGAAGTATGACAAGTAGTTCTCTGATGGACAAACTAAATGGTCTTAAACATGTTGTCTTCTTTAAGTCATGATTTTCTCTTTAGAAAATAGAAGTAATGATGCTTGACCTAAAATTCAGGAAGATTCCATAGTCCTAGTTCTTTGCTCAAAGCCAAACTGCCTCTCCAAGTGTAAATTATGTTTTTCTTCCAGGGCTTTCCAAACTTATCCACTAAAAATTTCTCAAGAGAATGGAAGCTTACCTCTGGGTGTTGACGATGGACACGAAAGCTGAAATCTTTGCATACAAAGCATGTGGCTCTAAATTCCTTCTTATTTGCAAAGGTATGTTGATGTTTTATTCTTCTGAGGAAAAAAAATCTGAATAAAAAATATCCAAATGATTTTCTAGGTAAATAGAAAATCCTCTTTCACCCAAATCTTGAAGTAAAGTTATTGCTCTAAAAAGATACAACATTCCTCTCTTTATTTCACTGTTGAGAAGGCTTATGGTCAATTACAAATATATACAGTTATAGTGTCACAGGGTTCTATATTTAATAATCAAAATCAATACATATCCAGATCAGAGTTATATAGTTTCTCACTCAACAATCCTGTTCACAGTGATTCACATTCAGTCTCCAAAGAATGCACACATAAAAAAGCATATCTTTCAAAACACCACATAAATTCTATATCACAGATAAAAACACACAACCTCATAACGAAAGTTATAATCCCATCCTCAAAAACAGCATTATGTTATACAATTCCACCAATAGTCACAAAAGCACTCAAACTTTTACTTTTTATTGCCTATTCCCAAGGAGTCTGGGAAAGAAAATTTTATTAGGAGACTAAAACAAATGTTCAAACTTCATTCTCAAGGTGCTCATCCAGCAGGGGACGGAAATGTCCCAATCCATATTGGGGCCATGGAGTGGGGGCTAAAATGAGAGACTGTCAGAGTTTACACATTGTTTCACCTAAGGTCATTCTGTTTTCACAGTCCCAGTGGGGAGCTGGGACAGGATTAAGAATGGATTGAAATCTGATTTGATTTGATTAAGATTCGGGGCCGCATTATGACTTGGTGGACCCCTTCTTCCACAAAGATTAAAATAAAAATTATATTTTATAATTGTGACGGTATAGTAATTAATAGTAAGTTAATATAGTGCCTTTCCTTAACTTAAACATTTTCTTTGACCTAAATATTCATTTAAATTCTGATTTATTTAAAAGATTTTTGTGTGAGTACCTAGGAGTACTGTGGGCCTTAGGGACTTTGTGTAAGTGCCTAATGGATGAGTCCCTCCTCCTGAGATGTGTCTTGGGCAACACACTCAGCCAGAGTCGGGTTTTAATGGAGAGAAAAGCAAGTTATTAGGGATGAGGAATTTCGGGGTGGGGATGGAGGGGTGGGAAAGACGAGGGATTAGCAAATTTTATATAATCTCAAAATCTGGAATACAAACCACTTTCCCACCCAATGGGACACACCCCGAAACGAACCACTAACAGAAACACAATCTCATTTGTGGTTACAGACACACAACGGGTCCTAGAATGTCTCAAGAATGAAAACACAAACACACCTACACACGCCCAGCCATTCTTCCTTTAAAATAAATGCATACTCACCAGCTTGCTCGGCTCCAGGCCCTACTCCAAGGCGCACCCTTGGGCGGAGAAAGGTCCCAGACCTCACAGAGTCGCACCCAGGGGCCCGCCACCTCATGTTCCCGCACGCAGGTGTAACGCTCCGAGTCCGCGTGCCCCTGCTCTGCCCTCTACAGCCGGGACTCGGATTGCACTCGCCGCCTCACCGACACCCGACCTTCCGAACTCATCCTCTGCCCTAGGTCGGAGCATCCTCCTCGGCACCGGGCCGCGCTCTGCGCCTGCGCACTCCGACCACAGGCCGCGCGGCACCGCCCGCTCCCCGCTGCAGTGACTGTCCCGGCTGGACTGCGTTTCCCAGAAGCCACCGGACCCTCACCAACTTCGACCTCTGGGTCCTTTTCCGGTGTCCGAGCAGCTGTGGTCCCTATGTGGAGAGTAGGTCGTGTCCAAAGGTATTCATCAGCAGAGGCTTCCACCGTCCCTGGCCCGAGCCGGACCGGAACCTGCGGTGGGGGTGAGAATCGTGTTGGGCCCGGGTCTCAGGCATGGGTCTGCGCGAGCAGCAGAGATTTGTGCCTAGAAGAGACCAAGTGTGTGTCTGTAGGTGCGTCCCTGGGACGATGTGTGCGTTTGTGTCAGTGACTGCTGTTGATTGTGCTTCTTTACGTGGCTTTCGGTTGAGCGTGGGTTGTCGGTGGAACTCAGGGCTCTAGGCTCCGCTGGTAACCCCGCTCTTTCCCCTCACAGCTACTTGGGGTCTCCAGCAGTTAAAAGAGGGAAGCCAGATTCTGAGTCAGAATGAAAGAATGGAAGATTCTAGCAAGAAGACTTAGACTTGGTCTTGAGATGAGAATTTTTGAAGCTGGATGCGA